ACCCTCTTGGCTGCTAGCATATGTTGCCTGGTAGGATTCTCCATAAACCTGCTCAACAAACACACAGAATACATTATGTCTGGCCTGGTTGCTGTGATGTACAGCAAACTTCCAATCAATTGCTTGTACTCTGTTGAGTTAACTGGAACTCCATCTCCTGCCTTGGTAAATTTGAGCCCTGGAGTCATAGGATTCTTCACATGATTGCACTCCAGAAGTTTAAACCTTTCCAAAACTTCTCTGGTGTACTTCTGCTGAGAAATGAAAATCCCAGAATTGCATTGACTGACTTCAACTCCCAAGAAATACTTCATCCTCCCCAAGTCAGTCATCTCAAACTCAGCTTCCATGGACTGCGTGAAAGCAGCAATCAATTGAGGGTCATTGCCAGCAAACATCAGATCATCCACATAGAGACTGACCAGCAGAATACTACTTCCAACCTTCTTGACAAACAAGGTATGTTCATAGGGGCATTTTTGAAAACCATGAGTGGTAAAGTACCCCTCAATCCTGCTGTACCAAGCTCGAGGAGCTTGTTTTAACCCATACAAAGCCTTCTTCAACCTATAGACCTTATGTTCTTCTCCTGCAACCACAAAGCCCTTTGGTTGCTCTACATATACTTCCTCAGTGAGAGTACCATTGAGAAAGGCACTTTTAACATCAAGTTGGAACACAGGCCACCCATGTGCGGCAGCCAAAGCTAGAAAAGCTCTAATTGTGTCCCATCTTGCCACTGGTGCAAAGACTTCAGTGAAGTCAATGCCATGTTGTTGAGAGAAACCCTTGGCCACCACTCTTGCTTTATGCTTATCCAGTAAGCCATCGTCTTTTAGTTTAGTTTTATAAACCCACTTCAGACCAATGCATCTAGCTCCCTCTGGTAAGACAGTAAGTTCCCAAGTATCATTCTTCTTGATAGAAGCCATCTCAACTCGCATAGCCTTGTTCCACTTCTCATCCTTGGAGGCTTCCTCATATGTCAAAGGATCTTCAGTGACTGCAACCATGGCACACCAGTCTGCAGCATAATTGAGGTCATAGTCATCCAAGTGAGCAGGAGGCTTTCTGATCCTAGGACCAAGTGCAGTAGTAGTAGTAGTAGTAGGATCAGAATCAGTACTAGGGAGACTGTCCTCCCCATTTTCTTCTTCTTCATTAGTCTCTAGAACTGGTGGTGTTGAAGCAGCAGTTGGAGTAGACTGTGATGCAGTAACAACTGCTTCATCAGATTCTTCAGCAATCTCATCAGCATCTGAAGCATACCAATCCTCATCATCACCTTCCCAAACCAGACTTGTGTCAACTGGTTGTGCCCCCTTATCTCAGCTCCAGCCTTGACTTTCATCAAAGACCACATCCCTGCTCACAACTAATTTCTGTGTGTGTGGGTTGTAAAGCTTGTAAGCTTTAGATTCTGATGATAATCCCAGAAAAATACAAGGCTGACTCTTAACATCCAATTTCTTTCTTTGGTGGTCAGGTATGTGAACATGACCAATGCAGCCAAACACCTTGAAATGATCAACAGATGGAGGATGGCCAGTCCAGACTTCTTGAGGAGTCTTGTTTTCATGGGCAACTGTGGGACTTCTAATCAGAACATGAGTGGTCCACAACACTGCTTCTGGCCAAAAACCTGCTGGAACCTTTGTGTCAGATAACAAACACCTAACCATGTTCATTATTGCCCTATTTTTCCTTTCAGCAACACCATTTTGTTGTGGTGTCAGGGCTGCAGTCAACTGTCTTTTAATACCAGCTTCTTCACATAGGTTCTGAAACTCACCAAGCATGAACTCACCTCCTCTATCAGTTCTTAAGCAACAAATCCCTGTACCAACCTCTTTCTCAACTTGAGCTTTGAAGTTCTTAAACACTCCTAGAGTATCAGATTTCTGAGCCAGAAAGAAAACCCACAGTTTTCTGCTGAAATCATCAATTATAGTGAAAACATACATCTTGCCTCCATTAGATGTAGGGGTAATTGGTCCACACAAGTCAGCATGAAGCAATTCTAACTTCTTACTAGCTCTCCATTGGCTCCTCTTTGGAAAAGGCTTCTTGTGCTGCTTTCCAGCCAGACAGGTAGCACACACACCACGTGTTCCCTTCAAAACTGGCAGACCAGTTACCATGCTTTTCTTCTGTAAACCAATTAATCCTTGATAACTTATGTGACCATACCTCCTGTGCCAGAGAGTTAGAGTGTCAGCTGCTGTGATTTGAAGACACTGAAGCTCAGACTTCACTTGATCACCAGGCAGCTCACAGTGGACAACAAACATTCGATTTGTTTTCATATGAACATTCATAAGTAAGCCCTTAGTTTCATGATAAACCCGACACACATTTCCTTTGATTAAGAACTCCAAACCTTTCTCCTGTAGCTGACCAATGCTCAGTAGGTTTGTTTTCAACCCAGGTACATAATATGTATCCTGAATCACCAGAGTCTGCAGATCAGTCTTCACTCTGATTGATCCTCTCCCTTTGACCTCTAACTTTGTGCCATTCCCAAGCTTCACTAAACCAGTTCCTGTGGTTTCAATTGAGGTAAACCACTCCTTATTTCCAGTCATATGATTGCTACAACCTGAGTCTAGAAACCACCAACTTTCATATCTTGACTCAGCTGCTGTTGGCTCAAGTAATGCCATGGCATAATCAGGTTCCTCAGGTGCATCTGACAGGAAAATCTTGGGAGTAATAGCTACTTCTGGTTCCTTCTCCTCCTCATGAATGACCATTTCATCTTCTTCTATCCAAGCCATCAGTAAAACATCATCTTTCATATCCATTGATGGTGAAAAATGAGCCTGTTGATACTGATTATTCCACTCTAGACATTCACTTCTGTAATGTCCCAGCCTGTGACACTTGTAGCACTCTACAGTGTCTCTACTCCATCCTCTTCCACCTCTACCTCTTCCTCGACTAAAATAGCCTCTACCTTGTCCTCTGCCACCCCTGCTACCACTTTCATAAGTGGCTTTCAACACCTGATCTTCCTCTACAGCAGGTTTCTTTTGGAACTTCTGCTCATGGACTAGCAGAGAGCTCTGAAGAGCATCAACAGAAAGAAGACTTATGTCTTTGGACTCCTCAATAGAGCAGACCACATAGTTAAATCTTTCAGTTAATGTTCTTAGTATTTTTCCACAATTTTCTCATCAGGCATACTTTCACCACAGTTTCTCGTAGCATTGGCAACTACCATTACACGACCAAAATAATCAGTCACAGCCTCACCTTCCTTCATCTCAAGAATCTCAAAGCTACGTCTGAGGCTCTGAAGTTGTGCTTTCTGCACTCGAGCATTCCCTTGAAACTTCATCTTCATGGAATCCCAGAGCTCTTTAGCAGTGGCTTTGCTGGTGATTGTTTTCAAAATGGTCTTGTCTATGGAACTAAACAGGTAATTCTTGGCTTTCAAATCTCTCAATCTTGAGTCATCCAGGTTCTTGGTTTGCTCTGCAGTCAGTTCTGTCCCCTCAGCAGGTTCCTAAACTCCTGCAGTCACAACTCTCCAGTACTCCTTGGATCGAAGCAGATTCTCCATTAGCATGCTCCAGTGGTCATAATCCCCATCAAACTTAGGGATACAGACCTGAGCAAAGCTACTACTCTCTCCCATGTTTCACACTCACACGATGAACCCCTCTCTCTCCCAGATTCTGATCCTCACTTGATCTCTCGTGTTTCCCTTTACCCTATCTGCAGTTTCCTGCAGATTTTTCTCTCAATTTGATGGTTACAGGTTGCTTTTGTGCTCTGATACCACTATGCTAAACACAAATGAATGCAAACTGACAGTTTATTCCATAAAGCATAGAGGAACTTATATACAGACTCAGCAATCTCGATTTGCCACTAACCACGATCACCTAAACCTTAACTGTCAAGCTAAACTGCCTTCTTCACAAAGCTACTGAACTGCTGGACTCTAATAAACACAAACATAACATAGATGACCAAACTGTAAATTTCCACACGACACAGTTTTGCTAGATACAGAACACAAACTTCAAACTTTGAACATGGCGCCAAATCTCTGCACTCCAACTTCAATCCTTCTTCTGACAATATCAAGGGCTGTGAACATATTGCAATTTTCAGTCATTGCTGCAGATGGTTTTGTGTTTTCATATGTATTTCACGCATACTCACCTTAGATATTTGCGTCATCCAGGCCTTTGCTGCCGGTAGCATAGCTGGGAGGCTTCCTACTAATTCTCTTGATTGCTTACAACATCTTCGAATATCTTCTCTGTGTTTTAATGTCAAAGCTGATCTGTTGGGTCTCTTTTGCTTTGATTAGAAGCTCGCCCAAGCTGCGGTTCATTTGTATTAAAATGGTGCATCCTTGTTACTGCGGCTATCTGGACTGAATTAATTGCATTATTGTACTTGTAGGGTTGTACTCACAGCCATGGTAAAAGGATATGTCCTTCTATACTCCATGTTCAAGAAGGGTTCAGATGATTGTGATGTTCCTCTTGAAGCACTGATCATTCTTGGAACCGATGGATCAAGGGCTGAACTGGACTTGATGGATTTCGTACTAGGTAAAGCTCCAAACCTCCGCTTATTGCACGTTGAGCCTGGTAGAGGGAAAGCCGCTGCTTATATAGACAAGAAGACAGCAAAATTTGAGACGCCTGTCTAGACATCTTGAGATCCTCATAAAAGAGTAGATTGAGTGCCACTGCAGTGTCTATTGACGTAATCAGCAGTATCGGCTTTAGAGCTAGTTTAAGCTCCATACTGATCCGTCTTGTGAGCATTGTCTTTGTATCAAGTCACTAGTTTTGCCTGACCACTGACGCTCTGCCTAAGCGATCCGGTCATCCGGAAAATGTAAGATAGAGGCACTATGTTGTTAAGTAGAATTGTTGGATTAATACGCGCGAATGCAGCGTGGCGGGAAAAGATACAAGTTACTAATGAAATGAAATGACAAACGTGGATATATATTGGTAAGCACCAAATGATGCTCATGTGACGGAAGGGGCTGTCTTCTGCTCGATATCCGGAGCCGGCGGTGTGGATGAAAATGGCAGAGGATCCGAGTCTGCTGGAACTTCAGGCACCAGGGGAGGCGCCGGCATGGGCAGAGTCACGTCAGGCACCGGCGGCGAAGTTATTGGCACAAACGGCGGCAACCAACCTTCATCATCGACTGGCGGTGGCGACAAAACGATTGGCAGAACTGGGGTCACCGGCGCGAATCCGTCATCCGAAGCCGGCGGTGGAGAAGAGAAAATCGGTAGAAATGGAGTTGGAGTGACCTCTTCCGGCGGAGGCAGAACTTCTTGCTCCGGCGGCGGTTCGAATAATGGTACCAGCGGTGGAGCGGGGGTGACCCCCTCATCGTCCGATGGTGGTGATGGGGTCAAGAAGGGCACCAAGGGCGGCGGTGTGAAGTCCTGATCTGCCGGCGGCGGCATTTCTGTAGGCGGCGGTTGTACATCTTCCGGTGGGGTCAGGATGGGCACCAGAGGTGGAGCCGTAGTGTAGTCATCGTCTGCAGGCGGAGGATCGAATATCGGAACCAGAGGCGGCGGCGAGAGATCGACAGGAGGAGGGGAAAGAAACCATGGGATGATCGTCGGAGGTGGTGGGGAAGCCACCAGGGGAGGCGGCAGGAATACAGGCGGCGGCGGAGAAGGGACAAGCGGTGGCGGTGGAGGAGGCGGCGAAGGTACAGGTGGCGGGGGAGAAGGAACTAAAGGTGGCGGCGGCGGCGGAGAAGGCGATGGCGGAGGTGGAGAAGGTGGAGGAGATTGAGGCGGAGGCGCAGAAGGTGGAGGAGAGGGAGTAACCACGGGCGCAGGCGGCGGGGAAAGAACGGGCGGAGGGGTTACCGGCGGAGGAGAAGGGACAAGCGGAATGGGCGGGAGGCGCGGTGGAGCTACAGGTGGTGGCAGAGGAGGAGGAATCCTTGTGCCGGGAGGATTAGGAGGGCGGCGAGCAGGGGACGGATTGAAAGGATTGTCCGGCGAAGGGGAAGTTGGGAAAGGCCATTGCCCACAGATCCCAAATAGGTACTGGAAGAATGGGTCACAGCGGCTGCTCGACGGCGATCTTCCGCCTCTTCCACGGCCTCTGCCGGCTCTACCTCTGCCTCCTCTGCTTTGCTTCTCTGTTTTCACCCATTTGGGCTTGTTTGGTGGTTGTTTGGTGTCGCTGCTGCAGAGTGATTGTGTTGCCAAGAGAAGTAGGCCTATGAGAAAGACAGTAAGAATTTGGGTTGTTTTCATACTTTTTGTTGCTGCTTGTGATCAAAGGCATGAATAGAAGCGGCGTTGGTTTGCTTTATAATTTGTAAAATGGTGGCAGAGGAGGGCGTTGGCATTGTTTGGCGCATCCATGGAAGGGGACTGGGCGAGCATTGATTGATGATGGTGCAGCAATCAATGGGGACGACAGAGCCCCAAAGAGAGCAGCTCAATTTAATTTTCTCGACTTCCAATGGTAAGCTTATCGATGGGGTTTATGACTTTAGATGCATGCATTGTAAGAAATTAAGGCTGTGCTTATGGTTTAGGTCGAGCACCACTAATTCCACTACAAATTATGTGTACATGTGTGGTTTAGCGTAAGCATTGACAGTGGTATAATTATTTGCAAATTACACAAATTAGTTGTTACAAAATTTGGTGTCTACCATTTGTATGCCTACAAAAATCAGATTGTAATTGTATCATATACTATGCTTGCCCTCTATATATTTGTAACTAGGACGGCAAATGAGCCAAACTACAGAGTAGATATATTGCCAACGAATATAAAGTTCGTCCCCATAAACCGCTAGGGCATCCACCCAGTTGCGAGTTTGGACTAGTTCGGGCTCACCTTGCTAATAAATGAGTCATGCTCAAATTTGGTCCGTTTAATGAAATATTGCTGCGTATTTGGTTCGAGCTCTTCTCGTTAATGAGCGCACCACTTTACTCGAATTTGAATCATCAATTAGCTCGCGAGCTTGGCTCAAGTATCATATTATTTACTTCATAAATTTAATTTTTTTATTACTTATACTAGTCAATATATAAACAATAATCATACATAATTTTTCCTTTAAATTCTAATGAGAGATATTTGCTTACGTACACAAAGCTTTAATGTGATAAGATATATAATCTAACAAATCTATGAGTTATTTCATTAAAAAAAATAAGCCTATAAATTATCAATAAGCCAACACATAAAATATAGATCAATGCTCATAAGTCCCTAGCCGAATGGTTTGTTGGCCAACTATCAGTACAACGCAGATTGTCAAACGATATTTTCCATAAACAGAACATCAAACTACTAAGCCGTTCAGGGAAAGACAAAGGAAGAGGAAATTGGGAACAGAGAAAAATCGATGGTACTTCCAGTAGACAGTAGTAAATGTCTTGGTTTCAAAGGGCCGCTATCCAATGTCATGTCTGTGTCCGCGCCTAGTTCTACGTGCCATTTCTGGGTAAGAGCAAGTTAAGCAATAAGTAGGATGCGTGCCCTCCAGAGCCATGAAGTTTCCATCAATTTATAACTGCATTCCCATTGCAATTTGCACGCCATGCATACATATGAAACGTAGCCGTGTATTTTGCCGCTACTCTTCAAAATGCTAAATACTACGATTCGTTCGCGACGAATTGATGATAGTATAGAATTAGAGATGCCAACAGTGCGGATCGGGGCCGGGTACATGCCTTCCGATCCCCGTCCGTCAACCTCGACGGATTTTCCCATCTCGTTCCCGACAACTAAACGAAGGTAGATTGGCTACTGTTATCGTTCGTCGACGGATTAGGGCAACTCACGGATCTCCACGGATCAGGGACTAAAAAAAAAAGACAAACAGTCACTAATTCTGAATAAAGTGGTAGATTGGCTACCGTCACCGTTCACCGACGAATTCGGGCAACCCACGAATTAAAGCCTAAATGAAAAACAAAGACGTTCAACGTAATCATTCAGAAATGATGAAATGAAATGAGCAACAACATATGTTGTAGCTTGTCCACACTGGAGACCAATTCCTCGACCTCAATTTATTTGAACAGCATTCCTCCTTTGTCACAAGTTCCATTTGTTCTGCAAGAAAGAAAACAAAAGTGTTAGAGAATTGAAACTATTAGTAAACCTCATCAATCATAAGTATTGTGCTACTGATCACTAGTATTTACCTTTGCACTGGTTCTTCTCAAACTATCAATCATCTAGGGATAATGGACGGTTCATATTGCCAAGTTCCTCTTGTTCTGCAAGAAAGAAAATAAAGGTGTTAAGAGAATTGAAACTAAGATTAATAAGGAAAAGAATTGAAGAACCAACTAACTTACCACCCTCTGCTTGATCTTCAACACTTGTATCTTCAATTGTTAGAGCTGAAAATACACATTCCATTACCTCAATATCAACATTTGACTAGGCAAAAAATGAAACAAAGGAAAATAATAGAAAAATGAACACAAAACAAAACCAGAAAGTTCAATTCTTGCACATTACCTTGTTGCAGATCTTCCATGATCCAATTACGAGTACACATCATGCCTCCACTTTATTATAGTAAAGCCTACTCCGCTGAGGGTCTAATAGCCTCCCACAAGAGCTAAAAGCATATTCAGAAGCCACTGATGTAATTGGTATGGTCAGGGTATCCCTTGCAATTGCTTGCAAAGTGTGGTACTTAGGGCCATTTAGTTTCCACCAATCAATATATAAAATTCATCAGATCGATTGGGAATAAGGTCCTCAAGAAGATATAGTCATCAAGATCGGTATGAATCAGAGTCATTTTGCTCTTTTTCCTCTGACTCACAAAGAGATCAAAAGCATGATTATCACTTCCAGAACTAGAAGAACCACCAGAAGCACATAAAGAAACCAGAATTCTTTTTCTCAACCTTAGTTTGGTAGTCAAGAACCAAACCACATATACATTGCTTTATCTTGTCAGCCACCAATGCAGTATTAGTGCTGCCAAACTTACCAGCATAAGACTCAACTAAATGCATCTTGTATATAGGATCAAGAACTACTGAAACAGCCAGAACCACATGTACCTCATCCCATTACTTGGCAAATTTCAACCACATGCTTTCAGCCATAATAGAGACAAGAGTATTGGAATCAACACACCATTCCATCAATTTCAATCTTAAATCATAGATCTTGGGGAAAAACATATTAGTAGTGGGATACTTGCTACCAGAAAATAGCTTAGTAATCTCACTGAAAATTTCAAGTTTGTCAATGATAATGGCAGCAAACTCTCAATGCATACTAGTAAGGACAATATTGTATTGACTATCCCTCTGTCTCAAAGGAAAGAACACATCTATGTATATAATAGCAGCAAACAACATATCATAGGTGGAATTCTACCTTGTCGAACAATCAAGCACAAGTTTCTTTGTACAAGACACCTTAATTTGTTTACCAGTTTCATAGAAGGTCTGGACCCTCTTAGGTGTAGAGTTCCAGTACACAACACTCTCCCTAACCAAATCAATGCCATCCCTGATGACATCCAAACCATCTTGCACAATAAGATTAAGTACATGAGTAGGACAACTCATGTGAATCAGCATACCATCCAACGACAATTCATCCATAACAAGTTTGGTTTTCAGATGGCTTATTTTGGCATCGTTAGTGGTACAGTTATCCAAGGTAATAGATGACAACTTGCTATCAATATTCCAATCAATAAGACACTTGAACAATCTGTCTCCCAGCCTCTCACTAGTATGAGGGGCAGGGACAAACAAAGCGTAAAATCAGGTTTTTAAGCATCCAAGAATTATCAATAAAATGACAAGTTACTGTCATATAACCCCTCTTCTGGTTCAGTGTATTCAATATATCAGTGGTCACTGCAACTCTGCCAATATTTCCATCAATAACCTTCTCAAACTTTGCCATTTCAACCCCGTTATGTCATTCCTCACTGTACTCCTACAAGACACAGTGAACTGTGGTTGCAAAGAACAACAGAACGTCTGAACTCATGGGATATTCATGCACCATAATCATTGAACACAATTCCTTCCTAGACACATCAGAACTGAATTGAGTAGTTGATAGCAGGGGGTTTCCAGTTGGTTTATAATCACGACCAAGAACTCTTTGTCTACCATCATGTATCTTTCTTTGGGTACAAAGTTTATAATGGTGCCTCAGGTGGGAGGTTCCATTACTAGTATCACAACCTACTCGTTTTTTACAATAACGACACTTAGCCTTAACAACACCATTAAACTTCACTCTAACAAAATGAGGCCAGACATCAGAAGTCAACTTCTTGTTTTCCTCGAGAATGACTTCGCCATTTTCATTCCCATCAACCAAAACATCATTACCATTACCATTACCATTACCGTTAACATTACCATTAACATCAGGATTTAGAGAACTAGGCGCACGAGGATCATTCACATTCAAAGCATCATTTGCAATTTCACCATCCATCTACATTGACAAAAACACAATTAATCAATCTTCTACACTCAGACAGAGCACACAAGCGATCGACACATGCAAGCTACACATACAAATTACAAAACAAGGCGGATTTGGAGTAAGACTATGCCTAACCTGTATTCTGGAGAGGTAGGATCTGTTGACCAGGCTGCAGATGGAAAGCTGATGCCTGATACGAACCTGATGAACTCCAACAAGTCAAAAAAACAACTCTGTGTTAGCATTCATCGAATGATAAAGACCGAGCTAATAAACTAGGAAAAATGAAGTTTTAAAATTGATTGCCTCGACTTTGCTCTAAGCATAGTGAAGGTAATGATGAACGGAAGAACTGAGGCTGCAAGTGACCCTGAAATCAATCGACAGAGTTACTATATATATGAAGGCAGAAGAAGGTGGAACAGAAAGAAAATGGAATGAAAAGGGAGAAAGAGCTTATCGGTCATCTATGATGATATCATAATGATTTCTCCCAATAATTGCGAATCGAGATCACAATAGCCATTTTAGGGTTCTGCATGTTGTTTTCCGACCAAATCGGCGACAAAATAAGTTTTCGATTGGCCAAATTGAGGGATAATGATTGCCTACTAGCGATAAACCAGTGAATGGAGAGGATTTCGTGGGGAGTCGACGAAAATTTTAAGATACATCAATGTTCGCGTGCTTGGGTGGAGAGAAAATAGAGAGGAGGTTGAAAGGAACGACGACACTCGACAAACACAAAGGAGAGGAAATGAGGGATTAGGGTTTTTGGGTCCTTCTTCTGGCTTTATACCCA